CTTCCTCTTCCGCCACTCCTCCTCTGTCTCTACGGGCAATGAAGAGGTCCTCATCAAGCTGTTGTACACGACCGGTGGTGCCACCGCATCATTATCATCTCTCACGAATGGTAAACACTCTGCTATAGAAGAGGACCTCACTAACTTCTTAGAACTCTTGTCTACACCAAATCGGCCCCCCAGTGACAACCCAAGATTCAACTCAATCTCCTCATCCTCCTCTTTCGCTGCCTCGTATTCACTACTACTACCCATAAACCTCTGCAACAAGTCCCTTGAAAATCTATTGCTTGCAATCTCCAGAGAAAGATTCTCCATATTTGCAGCTCTTAACTCCCTCTTGCTATCATCACCATCCCCCATAGGATACACAACAAACCCCACCCCAAGAACACTATATAAAAAATTATTTCAACTACATGGAGACCTGTATTCATGTTTATGCAGTCCATGATACGAATCACAAGTGCCCTGATGGAAAATTTTGATCTTTGACCCCATATTAACTTTCTTTGCCTCCAAAATAAATTAAAAACCACACACTTCAGGCAAGATTTTGAGATTTAAAGTTTCTTACACTCAGAATCAAGATAATTTTTAACAAAAAAAAGAAGAAGAAGAAGCTCCAAAATTAAGACTAATATTCATAAACCAGAAATGAACAAAATACATAAATAAATACTGGTTTGTGGACTTAATTATGGGTAATATTCAAAATAAGGCAAAGAAATTATTGGGGAAAGAGAGGGTGAAGCAATGTAGAGAGAGTCTTGACTTGCTGCGGACACCAGGAGGAAAAACCAGTGTATGGAAGATGGAGGATGTGAATAGTCTAAAATGCCCTTTGTATAGTAGAGAATGTGGGGACTAAGAAAGTACTAAGAAAGGACAAGTGCCGGAAGTGAGAGAGGGTTCAGGTTGACACGTGGTTCCGGCTGATAGTTTTCACACATAATACATATGAACACTAGACGAATTATTATTACGGAAATGCTATAGCCTATAGGGATAGACTTTTGCTACACAAACATGATACTTAACATGGGGGATGACACCACACACACATGAGGGAGATCGATATTATTTAATTTAGGTCGGAATCCACATGCAATGTGAGATGTCGATCAACCTCCTATGTTAAGCATTATGTTCATTTAGCTTAATTCATAGGGATAGGATAAGTGACTTGACAAAATACACACGTATACTTGGCATTTTATTATTGGCAGATAAATAAAAATTAAAGAAAACATTGCCAATCAAAAACTACCACTTCACTGCCTGTAAAATGTCCATGTCGTTGACCCAGTTTGTTTAACTTTTTTGTTATTATTAAGGGGGAGTATGAGGACCTGTTTGGAAGGGATTCTCATTTTTTTACAGTAAATCAATTCTTATTTTTAACCACACATTCTTCAATAAAATAATATTTTCCCTCACATCAATAATTTTTTCTTCTTTTTCAATCACACATTTCCCATCATATCACTATTCAAAATCAATTCTTCCCCCAAAAAATCCTACCAAACAAGCTCTAAACCTTAAAAAATGTCTTCCAGTACTCACTAAATTTTGATATGGTCGAATTTTGGATACTAAATTTTGATATAGTTGAATTCTGGCCACTAGAATTTGAGATGGTCTAGTTTTTGCCACAACTTTGAAAAACGACTTCTATAGCTCAAAATAAATTTAAATTTAATTAAAATTCCTAGTTAAAATTTGGATTTAATTTCATGTAACAACTAATTCATTGTATGTTTCATTGTAAAATTCAAATTTTATGATGAAAATGGCTTAAAATTCTACAAAAATAAATTAAATTTAAATTTAACTATTGTGTAATTGCGAATCATTCATAATGGTATAGACAATGATTGCAAAACCTTGTAAAGGAAGTGAGTTTTTATTGCAATGAGACACATAATATATTTATGTTAAAATTAAATTAAATCCGAATTTTAGCCCTATTTGATGGCCATTATTTTAAAAATGAAGTTTTAAATAGTGATTTTTTGGAGATTGTATGATTAAAAAGTTGAGAAAAAAATTGAATAGGGTGGCAATATTACCACCCTATTCAATTTGCATTAAACATATCTATTTTTACCCAATTTAACCCTTTTAACTAGACGGTCGCGCGATCGTTTAATGTTTAAATACTTTTCGTGGTGTGAAAATATGGTGGACAAATATAAGGCCGAAAGATTGGTGCTCCCGAAAGAATTTACCATGAACGTCCAGTTTCCAGCGAGATATTATTGCTATAGCACTAGCTGCAATGTTCTAAATCAGAATTTCAGTCTCTGTATAAAATCCTCAAAATATTGGTTTTCTTTTTCTGGGCCAGTAGTAAATTTACTTCAACTTTGCGGAATCACATTCTCTAAAAATAAAATAATAATAATTTGTCTAATCTACCTCAGAATTTATTAAGAATAAAATTTATTTTTCTTTACTATTTTACCTTGTCTATTGATAAAATAATGTCAAGTGAGATGAAATTCATGCCTACAAGTATGATAATATAGTTGCAAGATCAGATCATTATAAATTTATAATGTAGAAGTTTATAAACTCGATAGAGTTTGTCATACAATATATGACAAAAAATTTACATCTACACAATCATCCTTTAGCTAACGTCCACTCGAGGGGCAAAAATAATTAGAAACTGGCAAAATGAAACAAGAAAAGGGAAAGAAAAAACTTAATTGAGAAAGGACTAATACCCTGGTGGGTAGTGGGTGAAATTAACACAAAAAACACCCACACCCAAAAGGAGAGATGAAATGAAGACTCTTCCTCAAATAAACTAAAGGAGAAAAGAAAGAATACGAATCTGACGATTCAAGTAAGGCGCGCCTACTGATTATGAATTTCTGGTTTCGAAAAAAGCTTGCTAATGAAAGGAGATATTGCTGCAAGCAGTGCCTTGGGACATTCCTCGTGTGGAAGATGGCCACAACCAGTTATTGCAACCAGTCTCTGCATGACAGTATATCTTTCAGTACTTCAGAAGATAAATCAGAAAATTCAAATTGCATATAGAAATAAACCCGCTACTACTTGAAATAAATGAGAGTGAAGGCATGGGACTCACTGAATTTACTAGTTTGGAAGCCATAGATTGAACAGATTTTAGAGGGACAACGACATCTTCAGCCCCTGCAATAACCAAAACTGGCAACTTTTCAACCGCTTTCAGCAACAATTCTGCATTTTCCGGCATGAGGACGGTCTCGTATGACAGTTTCCCTATTTCATGAAGTGCTTCATCCCAACCTTCTACATTTAATGGGGCCTGGTGTAGATCAGGGAAGCCAAACATTAGATTTATTAGACAAATACCTGGCAATCAAACATCAGATGGCAGAAATGAACTACGAGAATGCACGTGTTTTGATTAAAGAATTATTTGGAAGGAAAATATTGCTAATAAATATTCATCCAGCTGTAGTTATGCTTCACTGCTTTGTATCTTATTTTTTGGCATGTTTGCATGAGCTTAAAAATGAGTAAAAGATACTTTTTATGTTAATTTTATTATCAGTTTTAAGTCAAAAATGTTAATTGAACTATCAAAATAAGTAACATAATTTTATTAATTAAAACAAACTTATTTACTTATAAGTAACTTTTAAAGCTCTGCCAAACATACTTTAAGAGAATATACATAGGTGTACATGGAATACTGCAAGAGATATTATATGAAAAAGGCTATATACATGCTGCTCAGAAGGATATATTTCTACAGACACATAATGCCCAAAGAAAAATGATATATATTATCAAAAAGTTTATATACATGGAATATATGAAAGGATTCCATATCAAAACCGCAAGAGATGTCACAAAATAGTGATGGTACGGAGAGAAAGGTATTGGAAAAAATACCTTGTAGAGGTTTAAGACTTCAGTTGTTAGCTTAGTAGCATCAAACCATGCACATCGATTCACCATTTGAGTGATTTCTGTCCGAAGTAGAGGTCGGACCAAGTTCTTCTTTCCAAGTGAAGTGCGTAATAGTATTCTTGCGAAGGCAGGAACCAGTTCTCTTGACAAGCTAACACTAAGCAATACAACTCCCCTTATTTTAATCTGAATGACATGCCATTAAAAATTATTTCCAGAATTCAGCAACAACTTACAAAGACCAAAATTATTTTGGACTCAAATGAAATACTAATTTTCAATCATAATTATACCAAATCATATTTGAGTAATATATGACTCCATTTATGACCTCCCACGAGCTCTAAGGTCCTCGTATATTCTCTTTATGTGGCTTATAAACATATTATCAATTGAATTATCATGATCTTAGTACATCAAGCTATTTTTTCTTTTACCAATATATACCAGCTTTTAGACTTTATCCCAATCAACTGATGCTATCAATTGATGCTACTCGACGTATCTCATCATCAGCACAAAACTGAAGTACAAAATTTCACGATGGATTCCTTCGTTTACTGATGAATTATGCCAACCTTTAAAAGTATCAAGCTTCAGTTGCTTATTACAGAGCCTAAGGACTTAACGTTTTCTATTCTTAATAAATGATATAAATGCTACTAAATCATTATTTAGGAGTCAAAATTACAACAGGTTCTGTGCAGACATTAAAATTATCACGTGGTCATTTGTTTAAGAATTAAAAATTACAAGTGATGTAGACTCACATTCTTGGTATTTGCAGATGACTGGATTTCCTGTGCAGCCTTCAGTGCAAGCAATCCTCCATCATCATGGCCAACAAGTACAACTGACGAAAACCCCATTGATGAGCAAAAAGAAAGAAGCAGGTCAACCTGAAATGACCAAAATAAAATGTTTAATTTGAGACTCAAGTAGAAAAATCGAAAAAGAAAATGAAAAAAAGTTGACTGAGCTATATTCAAAAGCATAATAGATGGATTAGTTGTCTCGTGTTCCTCAGAGTTTTGCAGTAACCTAGCCTGATTAACCAAAACTAGTCATGATAAATGACATTAATCCAACTGTATGATTGCATCGATATACAATAACTAATATGGTTCCACAAGATAATTCTTGATGATTCCTGGTCAAATATTTTGCAAGCAAGTACATATAATGTCATTTGCTTTATAAGGAGGACATTTTAAAAGAGAAATGTTGCAGTTTGGGCCACACCTGTGTGGGTGTTTGAAAATATGTATAGGCATATCATATTTACAACAATATATGTGCACTAGCAAATGCGTAGATGTGCATATGTGAGGGAATATGAAGACTCATCAAAAAAGGGATCAAAATGCACATCAGTCTAATTTCATTTAGATTCTTAAAATATTTGAAATGATCCTTTAATGCCAGGAAAAATATGTTGGTGTATTAACATTGTAAAAATGAACTAAGATGATTTCTGTTTTAGAACCTGATTTGGGAAATAAGTCAAAACTAGTGATCCTGGAAAAGAAAAGTAATTCATTTGGAATACTTTTCTTCCCATTGGCATGTTCCCACTTTTTATTAAATTATGAGCATCCACATTACATAGAAAAGAGAGAGATGTAGTTAAAATTTGCATACAACTCCCTGTGTGAGTGAATGTGTGTTGCGAAAGAGAGAACATAAGAAAGAAGTGCGAGATTTGCAACAGTTCTACCCATCTTGGTTCCAAGAAAACCACAACCTTCGTAACCATGAATTTTTTTCTAACTGTTCCAGATTTTATAATCTGTTGCATCAATTACTAATGCACCATGTTATATGCTCTGGAATTGGGAAGAAAAGTTGCTGACTATTACAAATCGGATTTTCTAAATTTGTAAATTTCCACCAATGCTACTGGAGTACATGCCGATGATATCACAATATACATATAAGAATAAGTAATCACCTGAATTCTAAATTGGGAAGAAAAGTTACTGACTATTACAATTCGGATTTTCTAAATTTGTAAATTTCTACCAATGCTACTGGTGTACATGCCGATGATACCACAACAAACATATAAGATTAAGTAATCACCTGATTATCAAGTTCGTAAGGATTAGGCACTTGATTATCCTCCCAATTCTTCCTGCATGGCCTTGATGTCAAACCCCAACCAGGCCTGTCGAAAGCAGCAACCACACAACCAACCTGCTGAGCCAGAACACCCATCACGTTTCTCCACGAGAAAACTCCCCCTCCAAACCCATGCACTAACACAATTCCAAACTGTTCATTTGCTTCCAGATCTGTTTCTAAAGTTAAAGACTCCAACTTTCTGTGTTCATTTTTGCCAGTTTCATCAAGCCTCAACATAGGCACACCTTCAGACACCGGGGACACTGAAGAACCATCTAGTAGAGGAGCATAGAGAGAGGAGTTGCTAAGGGATTCATCGCTGTTGCTCCTGTAAAGATGATAATGTGTTTTTGATGGAACACTTATCAATGGGTGGTCAGGAAAAGTAACAGATGATAGGGAATGGTGAGCCGGACCAGGCATGCATAACTTGTAGTGGATAGTTAGTCCTTGGCAAGTGATGAATAAGCTATCTATATCAGCAAGTAATCGAACTGGAAGTTCCCCTTCATAACGAGACAATCCTGGTGCTTTTCTCCTCATCTCAGAGTCACTTCTGAAAGTCTTCCCAGCAGATGGAGTGGGAGACCGTGGAACCTTCTGACAACCAGAGAACGCAATTTTGCAAGAATGAACCTGTTCAGGTAAATAGATTAGTCAAAGCTAACAATTTAGAAGAACCTCATCGTATAATGAACTCTCTATATACTATCCCATGCAACTGAATCTTTGAAGCAAGCTCATTCTCCAACTTAAAGGCAGACAAATTGAGCTAACATCCCATACAGCCAGTGTCAATAAAAAAATTTGTGAAAACTACAATATACACACCTCATATGAACAGTATTTAGTTCTAAAATGTTAAGTGACTTCTACTAGAAAATCAAATTAACTTTGTATTACTCTACCATTTAGAAGACAGAACCAATTTTGCTGAAAGTATAGTTGTGTCCACATCCACATGACCTAAGAAGAATCCTGCCAAGAAAGGTCAATCTAACCCACTGCCAAGTCAAATAGATGAGTTATGCCTTGCGCTGTCTCCTTACCTTCCCAGAACAAGTCACGTGGCTACCAAAGGCTAGGCCAAGGCAGAGTACACGATGACCCCAAGACCATCAAAATTCTTCTCGGCCGGGTCCCCGGCTCATCAAGACAACCATTGAGACCCGCAAGAAAGATCCCAATCCCGTCTACAGAAAGCATTCCTCCTGATGTGGCTAAGGATATAAATGCCCCCAACCAAAAATAAATCTTCGTCCTAAGTCCTCAGCTTTGCAGATGCTTTTGCTATCAAATTGAAACTCAAGATCAAACGTGCAAGACACTTGGGAGGAGTTCTTAGGCAGCCAATCTCTGACGATGTTCACAAAAGTCGAGAATTTGAATTCTGACTGCAGACTTGACTATGTGAGGTGCAGAGAGTTCAGCTCGCTCATCACAAAAGGATCCTTCAACTTCATCCTCATCGTCTATGTCTCCAAAACAAAAAACTCTACATAATTCTATTCACACGCACCACATACAGGCCATTTTAGAAGCTTTTTAAGCTTTCTTGTACACAAATTACCTTATTTATAATCACATCAAATACTTCTGTCTACGTGTAAAAACTTGCAAAATTTGGCATCGACAAGAATAAACCATTTTGGGGGCAACACTTAATAACATACAAACTTAAGGCAGGACAAATATTACAAACTTACAGCTTCTGGGTCAACGCCACGAAACAGGAGCTTCCTCTTTGCTGTGCAGCTTGTTCGATAAGCTACAACAATATGCCCAAGAGCAAAAACTACAGAAGAGAGAAACAAGACAGGCATCCCCCAAGACTTCTTCAAATGGAGCCTCTGCTTTGAAAGAGAGGTTGAAGCTTCATCCTCAAAATTGACGGTGAAAAGACAAGCCTTTATGGACAGAAAAATTATGGAATTGATGGAACAGAATGTTACAATTCCTAAATATGACCCATGTGAGAGCATTGGACTATCGCACATTGCATACAAATCTGTTCCCATTTGACAAATCCATAAAAACGAATCAATTAGACATCACGAAAAATTTATAAGCAAATTTGATTCACTTGTTATTTCATCATGTAAAACTGCGTTCTGATTATTTCACTATTTGGAAGTAGTTATTAGAAGACCAATTCTACTAAATTTCTTCATTTTACATTGACAAAAAACTCAAAAGAATTTTTCATAAACTTTAGTGAGTAAATGGGAATGATACAAATATACTTTCAAATTGTTTACACAGATAATATCATTTCATTCACGTTATTATTTGAATGGCTTCTCATCCAAAGTAAGCAATGGGTCGTACACTCGTATTGTCATGAAAAATATACTAATATTCGAACACAATTCTTTTAGCTAAAAAATTACAACACTCTTACAGGTGATTATGAGAGATCTGATAGTGGAGACGAGAGGAATATCCGTCAACGAACTCTTGAAACCGTATCTCTGCAAATGCTCTCGAAAACTGTAGCAATTAAAGCAAGTGAAGCTCAAAATCAATAAACACATCACCACCACGTCGCTTATAGCCACCATGACAGGCAAAGACATCACCACCAACGACGCCACCAGCGCCACCACGAAATACACTGTCCTCACCACCCTCCTCACCTTGTCCCACCACCATCCTCCCTTCGTAATCATTTTTACTCCTAATATCAAATTCACTAAAAAAAAAAATCAAAAAAGAAAAAAAACTTTCTTTTTGATTGGATTTGAATACCCAAGTATGACTAAAGGGAATTTGATTTCGGAGAAGAATTGAAGCCCTAGCAAATGGAGATACACAAGACGGCGTTATACGCCGTCTCCCGGCGTCATATTTTACGCCGGCGAATTGTCTGTTCTTTCGCCGGAATTTCTATTCTCTCTCTCCTGTAATCGTACGATAGAGAGAGGAGAGAGAGAGAAAGAGAGAGTACGTGTTTAAGTTTATTTTAAATTGAAAGCTTCCGTTTGGTTGTTTGTATCGAACAACAATGCCTGAACTGCATTGTTCTGAAAAGCTCGTTTTTCCTAACCAATGAAATTATCAATTAAAAAAGAAGAAGAAGATGCGAGCGTAATCTACGTCATTAAAAAAAAAACACTAGTTAGTAATTGGGGAAAATGGATGGCAAAGATTTAAAAATTCAAACTCGCCGCCGCCGAAACAAGACCGTTAGGCGTTAATTTGCACGTCTTTTCTGGGACCCACACGTGCATGACACCTGTCGATACAGTTCGCTTGTAAAGTGTAACGGTCATTTTACTTTTTAATTCTTTTTTCATTTTTCAGAATTACAAAAATAATTTAAAATAAAAATACATAAAATAGTCTCCCAAAGTGCTGAAAATGGTGAGTATAATACACGTGTAAGGTTGGGAAGAGGTTAGAATTATGAGTAGAAAGTTTAAAATTTTTCAAAATAGTATAAATAATAATCACGATCAAAACTATATAACCGAGATCTAAGCCTTACATTTCAATCCACTCGATGGATTCATAATACATTATAATTTAAAATATCAATTGAAAATGTATTTAGAATAAAATGAAATGATCTTACAAGCTACATGCACATGGTCAAAAAACACAAAGGTGAATGAATTTGGAATTTATTAGTTGAATTAAATTACATAAATAACCACTGGTTTTGTATTTTCTTCAGCCAACGTTAACCAATTTTGCCAAAATATAGAACATCAATACTAAATATAAAATACAAGGAGGAAAAAAATAAATTGAATAAGAATTTACAAACACCTGGCATCGATAACACGTTCAAGAGTACGACTCATGCTGCCTTAGCTGGCCATGTTGCTTGAGCAGAAATGATAATGCCTACTATGACACCAAATAATCCAAGTGCACTGCCAAAAATCTCAATAATTTTGGGGCGACGGATAGAAAAATAGTGCACTGCCCATTAACGAAAAGTGACGAGTTTTGTGCATCAGATGAAGTGCAGCTGCTTCCGATTATTCCAACACAGAGCCTTCAACCAAGAAACAGTTTGGAAAAGGGAAGAAAGAAAAATCAGAGTCGAATCTATGGGTGTGAATAGGGACTTTTTTTTAACAATATGCATAAAAGCTGGAAACTAATACTTGCCCACAGACGAGATTTGCAAAGCCCACGATTATTCCAGAAGCAAAGACTGAGTAGCCTGCTCTAAGAGACTGCTGCTTACATCTTGGATGAAGACACACACTCTAACTTTGTTTGTAGAATGATGGCCACAATAACTCCGTATATGGCAACAGCCTGACAAAAAATCACACTGAGAGAAGAATGGTGTTCATAAGAGTTTCAAGCAACTCAATAAGTCGTAAAGCACGTGAACAACTATCCCATTTCCGATGCAACTACATAATAATTATGAACCATGAATTCCATGATCTACACACAAATAAACAAGAATCATCAATCATGAGATGATATTACAAAACAGTGACTTCAAACTTTGTTTATTGCGATATAATAAATATTGAACCATTACATGCCAACTGAGATGCTATTTAGCAAGTTTACTAGTATATGTAATGAGAAAAGGAGGGGTTGTTTGCAATAATAAATCAACAACGATGGTCCATGATTCATCAAAAATGAATTTATGCAGCAAGGAGTAAAACATTTTAAAGTTTTGATTTCACTTAGCATTATCAAAAGCACTACAGACTTTACTCGGGACTTGCTAGCTCAGTAATCAACTAGGCAACTAAGTATAAATTCCAGTCCCCATTAAACTAATCGCCGTATAATCATTTAACATATCAGAACCTTGGTGGACGGATTTCCATATGAGTGCAACACCCAACGTTTACAAAGAACGGTGCATTTATAGGGACACTTGACACTTTGCTGGGATATGGAAAAATAAAAAATTTTAAACTTCTCTTCAAGCATGACTAAGAACTTTAGAATCAGTTAGATTCCATGCAAATAAATGACTTCCAAATAATTTTAGCAATTGCTTCTGTAGATAGCCCAAGCATGCATTGAGCTTTCATTTACTATTATTTTGCTTTAAACAGAAGATCTTTATTAACCAAGAGCTCTCCTCTAAAGCAAGATATCAATCCAACCCTCCTATCATAGGTGAAAATCATGTCCCTTAGTAAAAAGTTAAAACCCTTTGCAAAACCTTGGGAATTCATGCTTAATTAAAGGGTACTCCCTAGTCACCCTCCCTCAATTAAGTTCCAACTCCACGGTAAAATTCTTCCAATTTTTACTAGAAGAAACAACTTCACAGTTACGATCTCCTTCCTCGGCCCATTTCAACTTGGTGTCTTGGTCTATTGTATCCAACTAGGCTCTGTTCTCAAGATTACTCCAAATTCATTGTGTATCTCAGGTCTATCAAATCTTACCCTCTCGAAGCATTCTCCCTTCCCGCTAATTCAATAGTCAACTCTTTGAAAATAGACATTTTCTTCTCCCACGTCCCACTGGCCCACTCGGTCTGTGCTGTGACCAGGACCAGTACCGATGGCCCAAGAACTTCCCAACTCCAAATCATCAGTTTATGGACTTCAGTGTCTTCATGAAAGTAACCCAGCCACCTCCGACCATCATCATTCATCCATTGATGTTTGGTTTTACCATATTGATGTAAACTAGTGTCAAAATGCCTCAAACAATTTTCAACAGATAATAAATTTCCAAAAAATGAAACCATACAAGCAATAAATCAAACAATGAGAATCAATTACCAGAATATAAACTCCAGAACATTGAGATTGATCACAACATTCATAATTAACACTGAATGAGCTCGGAATTGAAATGGAAAGGGTTTATATTTGTACTCAGAAACTGTACCTAATGAGATTTTTTGGAATTAATGCCAGGTGCCTTGATGGCTGCACCTATTAAAACTGCTCCAAGTAAAATATATTCCCCTACAACGTTAAACAAATTTATCGAGTGAAAAGCTTTAAATTCTCAATTTACAAAACAAATTCGAATAAGAATATAAAAATTACCAGGCGGCGCCGAGGACAAAAACGCCGATTTCTACGGCGATTCCGATGGCGGCGAAATTGTACAGAAAGATGCGCCGCGACCATGAGCTGGCTGGCGTCACCATCCTGTGGAACCGTTGAAGTTCCCTCGCTAATCGATATTTCTTCTCCTGATTCAATGATTGAAAAGAAAAAAAGAAAAAAATACATTTCAAAGAGGAGAGAGAATTAAGTTAAGGCCCGAACGTTTAGGATCGTCTCTGTTTTGAGTTTTGAATTCATTTTGTATTTTATGTTTTGAGTGTTTGTTTTGAAATTGTTGAAAATGCGTTTTGTTTGTTGTTTTGGAAAACTGTTTCTGAAAACATAAAATTAGAAAACGCGTTTACTTTAAAATTTT